TACAACCAACCACAATGGAATTGAAACTATGACAATGTAACAAGCCACCCACTACAATGGACTTGAAACTATGCCAACGTTACAAGCCATCCACTACAATGGAGTGTAAATGTGACAACGTTACAAGCCACCCACTACAATGAAGTGTAAATGTTACGATATTACAAGCCACAAACTACAATGGACTTGAAACTATGACAATGTTACAAGCCATCAACTACAATGGACTTGAAACTATGACAATGTTACAAGCCACCAACTACAATGGACTTGAAACTATGACAATGTTACAAGCCACCAACTATAAGGGACTTGATTCTATGGCAACGTTACAAGCCATCCACAACAATGGAGTGTAAATGTGACAATGTCACAAGCCACCCACTACAATAGACTTGAAACTCTGGCAATGTTACAATCCACCCACTATAATGGACTTGAAACTGTGAGAATGTTACAAACCACCTATTTCAATGGAGAGTAAATGTGACGATATTACAAGCCACCAGCTACAATGGACTTGAAACTATGACAATGTTACAAGCCACCAACTACAAGAGACTTGAAACTATGACAATGTTACAAGCCATTCACAACAATGGAGTGTAAATGTGACAATGTCACAAGCCACCCACTACAATAGACTTGAAACTATGACAATGTTACAAGCCACACACTACAAGAGACTTGAAACTATGACAATGTTACAAGCCATTCACAACAATGGAGTGTAAATGTGACAATGTCACAAGCCACCCACTACAATAGACTTGAAACTCTGGCAATGTTACAATCCACCCACTATAATGGACTTGAAACTGTGAGAATGTTACAAACCACCTATTTCAATGGAGAGTAAATGTGACGATATTACAAGCCACCAACTACAATGGACTTGAAACTATGACAATGTTACAAGCCACCTACTACAAAGAAGTGTAAATGTGACAATGTTACAAGCCACCAGCTACAATGGACTTGAAACTATGACAATGTTACAAGCCACCAGCTACAATGGACTTGAAACTATGACAATGTTACAAGCCACCAACTACAATGGACTTGAAACTATGACAATTTTACAAGCCATCCACAACAATGGAGTGTAATTGTGACGATGGTACAAGCCACCAACTATAATGGACTTGAAACTGTGACAATGTTACAAGCCACCCACTACAAAGAAGTGTAAATGTTACGATATTACAAGCCGCCAACTACACTTCAATGGAGTGTAAATGTGACGATGGTACAAGCCACCAACTATAATGGACTTGAAACTATGATAATGTTACAAGCGACCCACTACAAGGAAGTGTAAATGTAACGATGTTACAAGCCATCCACTATAATGTACTTGAAACTATGACAATGTTACAAGCCACCAACTACAATGGACTTGAAACTATGACAACGTTACAAGCCCCCCACTACGTAACGATGTTACAAGCCACCCACTACAATGGACTTGAAACTATGACAATGTTACAAGCCACCAACTACAATGGACTTGAAACTATGACAATGTTACAAGCCACCAACTACAATGGACTTGAAACTGTGACAATGTTACAAGCCACCCACTACGTAACGATGTTACAAGCCACCCACTACAAGGGAGGGTAAATGTAACAATGTTACAAGCCACCCACTATAATGGACTTGAAACTATGACAATGTTACAAGCCATCGACTGTAATGGACTTGAAACTATGACAATGTTACAAGCCACCCACTACAAGGGAGGGTAAATGTAACGATGTTACAAGCCACCCACTATAATGGACTTGAAACTATGACAATGTTACAAGCCACAACTACAATGGACTTGAAACTATGACAATGTTACAAGCCACCAACTACAATGGACTTGAAACTATGACAATGTTACAAGCCACCAACTACAATGGACTTGAAACTATGACAATGTTACAAGCCACCCACTATAATGGACTTGAAACTATGACAATGTTACAAGCCACCAACTACAATGGACTTGAAACTATGACAATGTTACAAGCCACCAACTACAATGGACTTGAAACTATGACAATGTTACAAGCCACCCACTATAATGGACTTGAAACTATGACAATGTTACAAGCCACCAAATACAATGGACTTGTGACTGTATCAATGTTACAATGGACGTGTAAATGTTACAAGCTACCATCTGCAGTTGACTTACAAATATAACACGAATTGCAGTGAACCTATCAACATAACAATGCTAGATGTCACCAAATACACTGTACATGTAAACGTCACATTATGACATGACAATGACTACAGGCTTGGACACGATGGTGTCAATTTAACTCTACTACAATTTCGGGTCAATAAAATGAACTGCCAGGTAAAGACGTCTCTTCCGTATCCAGTTAGCCTCGAGAATATCGGGTCGAGACTGACCTTTACATTGACTGTCTGCAGTCATGAGGTTGGCACCCGTCGTCTCAGGTACCGCAATTTGCTGTGCAGTTGCGTCCCTTAAGGGTGCCAGAAACCTATGATTGTAAGTTCGAATAGTAGTTCGCCCTGATGTTTCTATGTTTGTAAGCACCATACCTGTGCTCTTTGGTTTCACCAAAGTGGTAGATGTCTGAGATCTGCATCACTTCGGGTGTTCCTCCTACAGTTGTCACGCCGTGATATAAATTAAATACTGTTCAAATCAGCCAAACCAAACTCACTTACACTTATGTATATATACATAAATTCCAGAGTAATTGCGCAGGACTAATATACGAGCAACCAATCGATTACTTACTGAAAGCCTGATTTGCAGACTGTCTTATTATATGTAGATAGTATATGTTAGTAACTATATATACATACCGCGTAACACCCATAAACTCACTCTTACACTCACATAGCTGACAAGCTGACAAAGATAAGAGAAAGTGTTTGCTCTTAATGAGAGCATGCGACAAGACCAAATTCCGTGTCAAACATTCATTATTAATACCATGCGACTCAAACGATTAAGGGCGGGAACTATATATTTATAAATGTCTGCATCTAAACAGTCATCGATAGTTCTTGATTATAAGACTCATAATTGACCTATGATTGTTTTACAAATGCAAAACCCTGGGAGACATGTATTTCAAAGGTAAATACGGTCATGCCATCTTTGTCAAGTGGGAGGTGGCCCTGAACGTCCTTGGCCCGGTTCCACAAACCTACATTAGCGCTAAGACTCCCATAGTTAACATGCATATCATGTACATATATATGTGGACTTATATTGGGAGCAACAAGGTGGCGGATATGCACGAAATGTATATTTACAATCCCCTTTATCAACAAGTTTCATTCAGCAAATTAGTTTGGTATTTATCTGTATATTCGTATGATGAAGCGATCGCCGGTCACGTCGAAGACCTGGGTTCGAATGTCCACACCTGTGCAATGTGTGAAGCCCATTTCTGGTGTCCCGTCGTGTTTTTTGTTGCAATATTGACAAAAGCGACGGAAAGCTATACTCACTCGTTAACTCATGTGAATGAGTATGGTTTAACGCCACTTTTAGCAATATTTCAGCAATATCATGGCGGGGGACACCAGAAATGGGCTTCACACGTTGTACCCATGTGGGGAATCGAACCCGGGTCTTCGACCTAGCGAGCGAACGCTTTAACCATTAGTCTACCCAACCGCTCCTAATTTACATGCAGTGCTCATGGTAAGTTGATGGAGTGGTGTGTGATGGAAGCGATTTCAAGACGAAATAACAGAGTACAAATGCAGTTTTAACAGTTTAATCTTTCATATTAATATAAGTTGTCATTAGGTTCACTTAAATGCATTTGATGTGGTTAATTGTGACGTTCGAAAAAAATCAAACACGCATTGTCGTAGTGCAGTTTGTATAAACACAAGCATGCTACATACATGCTGCCATATAGTTTCCGAGCTGTTCGTTGAACAGGTGACTACACGAAGACATGCACTCCGGCGAAGAATTGCCTTGTGTAGTAGACTTGCGGTTCCTTGTTATTTTGGAGAACCGAAGCATTCCTCTGACATATGCTGGCGTGAAACTGAGGAATTACAGAGCCACTCTTCTCTCTCACCACTAGGCACTATATTTACCTCAACCTTGCTCCTATTTAGGCTGAATTCACAACATGCTCTATCGGATGTGTTGCCAATGACCCAGATAAAAGGATTTTGACCCATTTGACTTTAGAAAGAGTTAAATTGTTTACATTTTAATGAGTGTAATTAAACAATTTTAGTCGGACGTTGCCATATGTGGAAGTTTAAGGTGTTAAACTGCATGTAGGATGAAACGTGATGGGATTTAAGCCTTTACGTAGCACTGATATCAGATATCTAAAACTTGGTGATGCTTATCTGGATATCATAGAATTACCAACGTATATATGTCATTATTTGTTACGTAGATTAATTCATTTTAAGTCTTCCTGTCTGTCCTTGGGTCCTGTAACGAACAGTTTTTATCAATTTCTATACGTATAAGTTCGCATATATGCAAAGTGATTCAAACAACATGTCATAATCGCACAGAAGATTTTCCGACACAAGTTGACAGTGATTGGCTACCTAACATGGTATTATACTAGTTTCTAGAAAACAATCAATTGTAAAGGATCAGTTACTGAAATTTATGTAATTTAATGTACAACATTATCACAGAAACGTTTCTTTATGTTTTGTAATATTATAATCTAGAAGCTAACATATTGTTCCAGTGTCTATTTTGCTCTATTTGCGTAAATACCTATTTTTCTTGGTGTTGTAAGTTAAAATATCGTTGTTTAAATATGATATTTAGATTGATTTAGTGTTGAATCTGTAACCACAACTTACTCGATATTTATATTTAAAAACAAGTAGCATTTTCTAAGGACAAAAAATCACAAACGCTCCTTTTTTACGATAAATAAAATGAGTACGGGTTAGGAATAAGTGTTTATTGTAGAATAGTTGTGTTGCAAGTACTCTACAAATCCAAAGTGCCCGTATGACCATTACTCGTACTGTTTCGGAGAATTTTACATGGCGACTTACTGAAAATTGTGATCTATTACGGCAAATTTAGGAAGTTATGAATAACTGATAGTCGCCTAATTGGAGGAGGACGTGCTTCAGACAGGCACCTCACTGTACGATGGTGTGTAAGGAGGAATTATGTAAATGGTTCAAGAATCTAAGGCCGCACCAGCGGATAGATTACATGTGTGGACTGCTACATATGTGCCTCCCACTGGAACTTCGGTTTCTCGGATCTGTGCTTGAAGACCATGGGAAGAAAAACTACAATTTCCTTCGTGATGCAGAATTAAAGGCAAACAATAGTGCAGAAATATCAAAGCTACAATCGGGAACGGATAAACAATTGCGTGCAACAGTCAGTGTTTATTTGTCGTTGTTACATTCGTCCAACACCCCGTGCGCTCAACTTCTCTTCGAAGTGTTGGAGAAAAATCTTGAAAGAGCTTTCACATTTGGAGCCGATCCCAATGACAATGAAGAAATCTTGATGGCTTTGACCCTGGCCATCAATCATCCTGCGTTTCAGTTTCACCAAAAGAACATTCTCTATGAGCATTATGCAAGATTCGATCCCGGGGCAAGTGACAGACGGAACAAGGTATGAGTTTCAATGGTTGACACTCGGTGCTGTTTATTCCAATATGGCGGACACCAGTTTTGAAATTCCATTTTTTGCCCAAAAAATGTTAATATTAGGACACAGAGTTACTTGAGAATGTGTGGTATTACTTACCTAATCAATTACGTATTCAGAACTGTGTTGTCATAAATGTATTCATAATTTTATTAGAGATAAACGGAAAACTCTGTTCTGTCAAAAACACGTTCTGTGTCCTTTGACAGTACAGATGTGTTGTAATTTCTGTAAACATTGAAATTTTCATGAAATACATATTAAAAATACAATCCACCAACACTGAGTTAAGACAGACTTAAATATGAATGAGTATCTCATCATTACTTCACATGGCGTGTGTACATAATGCCCTGTTAAAAGATGAGTTCCAATACTTAATATTGGAATCAAAAGAAGTACATGCCATAGATCCTTACTTATAAAAACGTTTGGTGTGTGTGCTAATAACCTTGGTGTCTATATGATTTTCAGAAGGTTTTCCTCTAAATGTACATGATGGGTAGGACCATGAAGATCTGGGTTATAATAGGTCTTCAGCAACCCATGGTCAATCCGGGTAGTCAGGCACACTGTTTTGGTTGATGCATGTCATTCATGATTGTATCCCAATTGTGTGGATCGATGCTCATGATATCAATTACTGGATTGTCTGGTTCAGACTTGACTATTTTCAGACTGCCGTCATAGCTGGAATACTTCTGGGTGCAGGAGTTTAACAACACACAAACAAAACATGATGTGTAGATTGTCATAAACAGTTTGCCATTTGGATTAGTAGTATCACTAACAACTGATTAAATAATTTGTAGACTGCTTGGCTTTATTTCCGAAATTGCTGTGAATGCATCACAATGTCAACAACACAAATGACATTCTTCTAAGGGAAATATTTACATGGGTTGGCTAAAGGTTCCAGTGGTTCATGGTATTGTTGTGAGTCAATTGAGTGTTGTATGATCTAGCAGTCCGCTGTAATCCAGCTATATCAGAAATCAACTTGTTCTGAAAGTAATCATGTCTGGATCAGGCAAACCACTGACTGAAAACACAAGCAGTGATGCACTTTATTGGAGCATCATCATGATACACAATCAGACGTGTCACATTTCAGTCAGTTCTTACAAAGAGTATGTGCTGACAGTCTCATTAACATGATTAAGCTCAGATATTTTACTCCAATAAGATCTGAGGACACCTCCACGGAAGGTCGTGTCGGGTGAACCCTGAGATAACTTTGACTGCCAAATCTAACTGAAGGCTGTGTAGGTTCTTGAGCCAATCACCTGTCAGCTTCCTAAAACGATAAGGTTTCATTTTTTTCACCAATGTTCATAATCAACTAGTTCTACGGGTCATTTTGGACTAGTGCCGAGATTGCTTTATATTCGGGAATCAACAAATAGTCCTCCTTGATTTTCACTAGCCTTTGACTAACTGACTGATCGTGTAGACATTTGTGTATGACATGTACAGGATGTATGAGATCATCTTTTGAAAGATTATTTGTGACTATAGCATTGATTGTATCAAAGCCATAATATTGTTTCAAACTGCTCATGGTGCCTACAAAACATTGTTTAACTGATCGTGCTTATCATTGTTTGACCTGACATTTAGTTGGATCCAAATAGGTTAATTATCATGATTATTGGTCTTCAACGTCTAAACATATATTTAGTTTACTTCACTGAAGTTTCCAATCTCATGTCTAATTGGTTCAAAACTGGCTGAATGCACATCTGTATAGCTTCACTAATCTAGTTGAAATTGATAATGATTTCAGGCAGTACACAAGAGTACTTTAACACTATCAGACTATAGCACTAATCAAGTGCTAATTGAGTAGAACTCATTAAAAATAATCCTGTAGTTCGGCGTACTGACATGTTGGACACATATAGTTGTATGCAAGTACATGTGTTTTACATGGATCAAAACAGGTCTTTCCTCGCGAAGTGCATCAAAACACGTGAGCACCTTGATTAAAAACGTTAAAAGATTTGGAAAATATCTATCAACGCCCAGTTGACAGTACACATCATTTGCAAATCCTGCAGTTGATCAAAATTTCCATGTTGAAATCAATGTTGTTTACAACATGTACAAACCATATGTCGATGTCAATTTTGATTGGACTATGCATAGACTTGTTAGTCCAGCCAAAATATCCTCCTTAGTTCCAGCCAAGTTTGGCGAGGGTGGAAACTGGACTTTTACAGTCAGTTAACTCCCTTGCCTTGTGAAGATGGATGTCTCACATCAGTTGTCCAAATTAGGCATAAAAGTCAAGAAGTCTTTGTCATGACCTCAGTGTTAAAATATTTAGGGGTCCCTCAGTTCACATACTACAACAGCAAATCTCAAGGACACCAGGACCCTCCTTAACTTTCAACACTGCACGATATTGTTATGTTCGTGGAATGGAAATTAACCAGAGTCTTCTTAGTGGTCAGATTCGCTGACTTGGTTGATGCATGGCGTGTTATCATATCCCAGTTTCGTAAATCGATGCGCATGATGTCAATCACTGGATTGTCTGGGCGACAAATGATTATTTACAGACTGCCATAATGTACCTGGAATATTCTGATTTCGGAGTTTAACATGTTAAACAACAAAACAAACAAATTATATTTTTTTTATTATTACAATGTCATTTCATATGTACCAAAGCTCCTTTTCTCGGGGTAATCTAACTGGATCTTGATATGTCCACTGTTAAACATACTATATCATCCAATAGTCCCTTATCTTGTATTCAATTTGACCAGAGGTAGCCCAGAAGTAGTGCTGTTTTCATGGCTGTCATCTCTTTGTAGTTGTTGAGTGGATAGTTTAGGGTATTGATGATGGTTAAATATCACCAGTTAATTAGCATATTGGTGGAAGGTCACCAGACAGGTGAAATATGTGTGAGATGCCTGTTAGTATTAAGTAGGTCCTTGCTTGCACTGCTTTGCTGTGTATACTAGTATAGCATGTTTCCAGGGGACAGTTGTCTATGTGCCGCAATTCACTGTGCAGAATTGCGTCCCTTTGGCGTGACAAACCTGTGATCGTGGGTTCAAATCCCGGTTTGCCCTAATTATGTTTCTAGGTTTGTCAGCACCATACACATGCTTGTGGGTTACCACAAAGTGGTAAATGTCACTTCAAGCTTTCTTCCCACATAAAGCTGACACGATATTACTGGAAAATGTCCAAAGTGGCGTTAAACCCAACTCACTCACTCCATTGTAGATGTCCCCCCCATTTAAAGTCATATGTTCAGTGCAGTTTCAATTTTCCTCCTCCTCCTCAGTTGTTATACAATCAGCAAATACCTGGTAATCAGTGAGTTTATTAGTTATTTAGACCATAATCTGCAGTAAGTGATCTTGGGAAAGTGGAGACACTAGTTATGCAATTAGTTATAATTTACAGAATAAAAAAACATTACTTTGTTCTTGGTTTGATTGATTATGCCTACAATTTTCAAAATTAAACAGGGCTTCTGGTGTCCTTGAGGTATTTCCAGGAATATATGTACACATTCTCAGAGGCCGATATGCGGCCAAACGGGAATGAAACATTTGCCATGTTTGCCAAGTCATGTTACCAGTATGATAGTAATACATGTAATAGATGTTATTGCTCTGCAGCAGTGACTTGCATTTCACTGATAACTGGGCCTTTAAACAAATATAGGGCACTAAGCAGTCAGAGATAATATTGTAAATAGTATTTCATTTAGGGATCCCAAAATCTTGAATATGTACCTTTAAATATTTGGTTGGCATGCTAAACCAAATATAGTAATTCTAGACAAGGGGTTTGGACTAGTGGCTGAAGTCCAACAGTTACTTTTGTGTTATTAAACCTGAATAAACTTTCAAGGCAGAAATATTTTAATAAAGAAGTAATGTCAGTGAAATGTTTCTGTTGTTAGTCATTGATACTGATAGCCTTCTTGGAAATGTCATAATCTACCTTTCCAATGAAATCTAAAAATATCATTAACGGAGAGTTAAACAGAAAGTAGAGACTTGTACACATGGTATATGGCTGTTTGGTTTGGGCCATGGATTTGATCTGTCGACAGGTTGTGTTGTTTGCTTGTATTTAGCCAGCGACTTCAACAATTGAAGGATTTTATTGTAATTTTCTGTGGCATTGGTGCCATTGCCTTCTTTGAAGTCTGCTCAAGGATGTTGTTTAAAGTTGCTTATTTGGTACTTGATGAACATCTGAGACCTACAACTTTGTTGTAGTTACTTCACCACCTCTCCCTGATTCTCTTCAAGTTTTGCACTATTGTTGGAATTAATAAATTGATGGTTGTAACTTGTGCAAAGAGTTCCATTAAGTACAATCAGGGAGTCAACAAATATGTATTTGTGTTTCTCAGCCTGAATTTTTTTCAGTCTGACAGGATGTCGCTGTGAACACCACTTTATTGTTGTTGACTGTCCAAGAACACAATACACATTCTCCTGTTCTCACCATCTCTCTTCCTTCATTTGTTCTTTGCATGCTAAATATTGTAAGTTCTCCTCCCATGTAATATGTGCTGAAAATGTTGGACATCTTTTTTAGCATAATATGAAATAAATTATTAACATGATTAATGAGGAGGATCTCTTCCATCATGATAGAAGATATTTGTGTAACTGTTCGTGAGCCACATGGCATCTGCACCTCAGGTCTTAGACCAGCACTCGGCACAGCTGTCAAGGTCAAATGTTGAAGTGATCTTTAACATTGATTATGTAAGTAAATATATCTGCAGTTGACTTCAACTCAAGCAAACTGTTGTTTGTCATAAGATGATAAATTGCTAACCTATAAAAATATTATGAACCTGCATGTATTTTCCTTCAGGTACTTCAGATAGTGTAAATGGAATAACTTAGCAATCAAATAGAAAATGGGAGGAGCAAGATGTCAGTGATAGTTTTATATATAAATGTTTGTTTTGCATTCCAGTATACAAAAGTTATACCATGTATACAGTGAGCGCAATAACATCATGATCATGCTAGCAGACATCCATCATTGTCCATAGGCAATAGATTCCTATTTTAGCCTTTCATAAGTTTGCACCCAAGATTTAGATAATGTAGTGTCGCTAAGCTTGTTAGGTACCTTGGAGATTCTAAATATTTTGGTGTTATATACATCATGTGCATTTAGAGTTCTCTAATCAACCACTGGGATCTCATTCTCACTAAAGTGATTGGATATCTTTACTGCTTGTACTGTTTGTAGTCATGTTTTCACTTTCTACTTTGGGTGTATGTGTCTAGCAACCATTAAAAGACACCAACCATGAACAGAATGGACATGATGGAGGTGGTCTGGTATATTTTATAGGTTTGACCCACCAGGGTTTTACGCGATGCACAAATCATTAATGTCCATCCAGTAATCACAAATGTTGAGATTGGGAGAATATTCTGCATCCCGAGGATGTACAATATATATTGTACCTATAGTGCATCAAGAGTAGTTATGGGTGTCATCCATCAGTCATGACCACGAGGGCTGGCTATCAATACAGATCATAAAGATCGATAATCGTTAACTATATATCGATCAATTATTGATGAATATCGGACAAGTAACTGAGCAAATATGCAATAAAGTCAGAAAGAAATCAACACACTTCATGCCATGGGTGAGTGGTGACACATTCAAGCATGGATTACTCTGTGGACAATTAAGTTATACATGTAACAAAAACAGTTGCGTTCCATCTTTGGCAATTGACATGACTGATCATAACAGTCTGTTTTGGTAAATTTTAACTTTCATCCCAGTTGTTTATGTAACGATTTTCAATTTGTTTTTCAACCCTAATGACCACTGTCCACATCATCATTGATTCATTCCAGGCTCTTACGGTAAATATCAAGATGTACAGTACACTACACCATTACATTACATTACATTACCTGCAAGGACCCTTAAAAGTATTATTACTTTTGTAAGTCAAGGTAAAATTCTGACCCACCCATTCCATTCTGGATGGTTTTGAAAATTATGACATAACTGAACTTTGCAGATGAACTCTGTTTAGGTTTAACTTTAGACATTAAAGAATTAAGCAATACCTGATGATATTGAATTGATAAAATTACTGGCCACTACATAATTTTTGATAATAAGGACAATGTTGTCTCTGACAGAAGTGAATGTTTGATGCCTATTGTCCTGGTTGTAAAACTACTACAGTTTAAGCAGATTAAACACTTGGAATATCATGCCTTAAAAAAGATAGAAAAATACACCAGGGTTAAAATTTAAATTATATCATGTTATATTTCACTTGTCCACAAAAATGACCTGCTGCAGAGTTACCATCTACCTGATGGTAAAAGTGGTAGTCTACAAGGAATGTCATATTCCTTCCTGGAGTTACTTATCTAGCAGCATACCTATTGATTTTGAACATTGAATACAGATATGTAGATCTGTTTATTTTGACCTACCTATCATGACTGTTTTAATGATAGTTGCAGAGTTCTGAAGAAAAATTCAATTAGAGGGAGGTAGTGGGGACACCTGGACATTATGTGAGGGGTGAACAAATCAACTGTGGAATGACAGGAATGAGGATACATGTATCACTCTGCGCCGTCAGCTACTAGTCCACTACTCCACTAGTCCATGCTCAGTCTAGTACATGTAGTAAGCTCAGCTAATAAGAGTTCATATAACAACACTACAAATCACCTACTGACAGCTAAGTTTGAGCAAGTAGACAAAAGTAGACTCAAAAGATATATTGTAAACAAACACATGCAGTATTCAATTTGACAGATGTCTTATTTCTATCATCATGTGCAGCCATTATTTGGAACACCTGGGGTTAGGCCTGACGTACCAGGCCCTTAATAGGACAAAGTCTGTAGTTAAGCTTGTGCAAACAAATACAATATAATGTTCGAAAACAATTGATTTGTTTGCATTTTGATTACATTGTTAGTTGTAATCAGGAAGTTAATTTTGAAATTGATCATAATATTTGTATAAATAACTATGATGTATCATGATTGACTATAGGAGATGGATGATTGATACCCCATTAACTTGTGTAACAAACGTAATGAAACGTTTCTGTTGCTCTTTAAATTTACTGATCATACTGATTATGGCTACCCATCATTAACTACATTCAGTCTCTTCATCATGTTTAAGGTATTCATTTTGTGATGGAGTTGACATGTCGTGTTAAGAATACAGTACATTGAGTATGTCACCACTACTCACTATACACTTCATTAATCTAAGTGGGTTTGGTGGATGTCAAATTCTAATTATTTCTTGATGAATGTTCTTGACCCATCAATGTTTGATCATTTGTAGCAAACTTAGACATGTTTGACATGATCCCTTTTAGTGATAGATTACAGTACATTAAAGATGTAGTAGTTTTGGATTAATTTGCATTTTGTGTGCACATGTAAAATGTGGCTTCATGTTACACCAGAATTTCAAACGCTCAAGAGATTGGTTCATGCTCTTAGCTTTTGGTGATGAACTGTAGGTATTCCTATCATTATGATAACATTTGATAAAGATGTACATGTTTCAAGTTATTTTCTTTTAACCATGATAACAGACAATGCTTAAATTTCTTCCAGAACACTGAAGCATGTGACCTCTTCGAAGAGCCAAGTTCAGTTGAAGCAGTTGAAGCAAGACTGAGGGAGCAGCAAGGTAACTCGACATGGAGATTCACTGCATGACATGTCAAAACCATATATTTACCTGAAAGTATTAACAACATGGATTCAACAAGCTTGACTCCCGACAGTTTCTAGGGATTTGGTCCTGTCCCACACATAAGCACATGTAACATGTGATGTCTCCTTCAGCAGATGTCTTTGAATGAAATATGCTTCTGTTCACCCGGCAGTAATTGGGTACTTGGTTGGGTGAGATGATAATCATGATAATGTTGCTGTTAACCTTCATTCGCCTCACAGGCAGCTTGGGTTTCATACTCCCCAGGTGTAATAATGGTGTGCTTCCAGCATGATATCTAGCAACGAAAAGTGCAACACTAATGGACTACTATAATAAGCAGATTTCTGGTGTATGACATTGATTAGTTGCTTGTAACATGAGGAATAGAGTGTGTATCTTCAATGGGAGGGGTACCTGAGGGGATATTTTGTTACATTATTATGAAATAACATTAAATCGTCTCTCAAATGATTCATTTATGACATTTTTTTACAGACTCCATTTGCAACGTAGAGGTGAAAGAGTTCTCCCCACGCAAGCAATCTGGAAAGAAATTTGAGTTTAAGGTCCATGTGAGTAGAATATGTTTTGCTTTTTCCTAATGCTTAGGTTATGAAATTAGTTCAATCTTAGGATGATTGTGACATTTTGTAATGTGTTTAGTTTACCTTATTTGATACCCCCATATGTTTGTAACTCATTAAGTAAGTGTTCTGATGTACCTACAGGTTACCTGGTCAAATGGCAGTGTGTTTGAACTCACCAAGACAATGCGGGAGATGCACGATTTTCACATTCGAGTAAGTATAGCGATTTCCACCCAAATGAAGTGTTCCATGTGGAACCATATCAGCCTAGGCGTGCCTACAGAGATCACAGGAGTGTCACAGATTGTCCATGTTGGGATATAGTTTAATATGTGTATCATGATTCATATATATTGATGCTATTTCTATATTCACCTAAATATAAGATACATGAATAACATGATACATCTACCTGTGCATTCATGTTATATTTCTGTATCAATTTTCCAAAAGTAATAACCTGCCTTAACAACTTCTATGGCTAGCATTACCTTACTTACTGTCATTGTTCAGAATGCTATCTGATTACATAATATTATTTGAATGAGACTAGATTAAGCAGGCCACATGGAACATGGGAATTTCAGTCAAAAATGAGGCAAATTACCAGCAGGTATTGCAAGACGTATCATATCATGACTCAAATATCACGATTTATGTCGAGTTTTGGGGCTACTAGTTAAGTGAAATTGCTATCTTTCTACAATATTTATATTGTCCAGAAAGGTTTGGAATATGATCTGTGTAATATCTGTTTTCACATTCTCTCCCCTTTGCAGTTGTTAAGACTTTTTCCTGATGAAGTTGAACTTCAAAAAAGAGAATGGAAATCCGCCTTTTCAAATCACTGTAAGTTGTGTAGCTAATCTTTCTTCTTATACTACAGCTTATTGCTGTGTAAAACAATAATCTATAAGCATTGTAGTTGCTTAGATGTTCTTTGCCCTGATTATGTTTCTAATATGTAGTCACTATATGGTCTTGTCTGTCTCACTCTGTATTTCATTTCTGGAGCAAAAGTTGAAAACCGTTAAAGATTTTTCATCTAAACCTGGTACATGTATTAACCAGGGGCTGAAGTGGTGCCTTTAGCTTTTGTTGGGACCGGGGGAGTTGTCATCTTCTGATGACTCTTGGTATCATTCGTATCTAAAGCATTACAATTTGCTGTTCAGAGTTGCATCATAAACCTATGATAGTGGGTTCAAGTCCCAGATTCACCTTGGTCATATTTCAGGTATCTCAGCACCCAACTGTTCATGGGTTTCGCTAAACTTGCAAATGTCTAAGACCTGCATCACTTTGGGCTTTCCTCCCACATCAATCTGACGCCACGATATGACTGAAATACTGTTCAGTGTGGCATTAGACCAAACTTGCTCCCTCACTTACAGATTCACATCCTACTGTTGTTATGACTGGAGTTAGATTATGCAAAATGTGAAGTGCAACCTCATTGCTGTTTCAGATAACCATCACTACCACCAACACAAGGAGGAGCTGGCCAGGACCCTGACAAACTACATCAGGTGTGCTAGTTAGCTTTGCTTTCACATCTTTTATATCACAGAGGATTTCAATCTTAGGACACTGGGCAACTTTACAAGTGTGATTCTCTGAACAATCCTGTGGATGTTCTAATGACTTTTGTAACTGCTTTCCAGAATGTGGGGGGGGCATTCGGGTAGGCTAGTGGTTAAAGCGTTCGCTTGTCACGCCAAAGACCCGGGTTCGATTCCCGACATGGGTACAATGTGAGACGCCCATTTATGGTGTCCCCAGCCGTGATATTGCTGGAACATTGCTAAAAGCGGCGTAAAACCATACTCACTCACTCCAGAATGTGGCTATTGTGTGACCTGGCTGTTAGTGTATCTCTCTGCGGTGCATCTTTACTCATGCTACCAGGTACCAACCCTGTGGTTTGGCTGATTCAGACTCAGTTATTTACAGCCACCTGACTGAGGCATTGTGGTGGATTCACTCAGTCAATTTAAATCCTAATACCTAGGACAGATTGGGCAGAGGGGTTAAATCAGTATGCCAGATTTGTCCGACCCTTGAAAATTAAGTGCCGGGCAGATGGGGAAAATATAATTTAGTTGCTAGTTGCCGTCGTATGAAAAGTATGGAAATTGGTGTTAATAACTTTGAAACTTTGAAGAAAACTTGGCTGGAAATGTACCTTACTCAATTGTATGCAAATGTTCCTGAATGATTTTCCCATCCCATTCAAAGATAGGATATTTATATAACATTCTGCAACTTCAGCCTTCTTTCTGTCCTGTAAGTCTCAGCTCACAATTGCCCACATATTGATGTTAAACTTTTTACAAATGCTGCCAAAAGATCAGTTTGGACTGGTAGACTCAAATGTTTTTGATATAAACTGATAATATGGGGTCTTTTTTTTCAGCCTTCTTGTCAGACAGTCTGCTATACTGAAGCATGATCAAGTTGTAGAGTTCTTCAAGGGAGGCAATCAGATTCAACAAGGTCAACAAGAGCAAGTTATCCCTCCTGCACCTCCTCGTGTAGGCTGTGGTGTAACCCTCTCCCCAATGTCTGTAACTACAGGTAATGGACGTTTCAACCAAGCAATGATATGGTTGAAATATATGTTTGTATTCAATGAAGCACTGCTGCTGTATTTGTAAGATGTTATTTTTGATGATCTGGATTAGTTTGCTGCACATATCCTTTCATACATTGCACACACAATAAGAACATTGACTTTCAACCAAGGGTGGATTCTGGTGGAGAAAAGACCTCGCCTCTCACATTTCTTGTAAGGGCATATAACATACTATAACAAGAATAGAGTGGTCAAAAGGGGACCAGCATAGAAGAATATGCTTCAGTTTTAACCTGGCTTATAGGTTGTCAGTGTACCCAGATATCATGGGTAGTGAAGGTATGTTTTATCCCACTGTCAGGCGGGACTTGTGGCCCAGTTGTCTCGAGTGCCACATTTTGCTGTGCAGAGTTGCATCCCTTAGGCGTGCCGGAAACCTGAGATCGTGGGTTCATATCCCGATTTGTCCTGCTTATATCTAGGTTTATGGTTCTTGTGGGTTTCACCAAAGTGATAGAGGTCTCTGACTTGCATCACTCCATGCATTCATCACTACATTTCCTCCCACTATAAGCTGACATGCCATGATAATTGAAATACTGTTCAAAGCAGTGTTAAACCCTTTGCACACACTCACACTATCAACCACTTCTTTGTCAGATTCAGATTGCATTTCTGCCGTGAAATAGCTGAAATATTGCAAACCAGGCAGCTGTTCTACAAAATGATGTTAGTGCTACGACTAGTGTAAGCCTATGTTAAATTATAGGGGTCATGATCTCCATAGCGCTGAGATTGCTTGGTGGAGCGGGCCACTGGACATAAACAAATTTCCAACTTCCCCCACCTTCACAGTCAAGTTCTTGTTTGTTGCACAGTTCTATTTAGTTCTATAAATGTTGTGAGGACTTCTTTTTGTTGTCTGCTAAAGTGTTCATTTCTATGATACTTGGTTCCATTGTTTTGTAGACGGGGAGCAGATGATACCTCCATTTCCACTGAAATCCTTGACAGTATGCAACTCGCAACTGCATCCTTTTCCTCAAAATTATCTTGGTAAGCCTCAGAGGGGGTATCTAACTATGAGGCTTTGGTGGTAGATTTTGTGAAGCGGGAAGGCATTTGTATTTGCAAGGGATTCTATTGCTTTTGTATTTGACTGTTAATTTTATGGTTTAATATCACTGCTAAGATACTTGTACTGTGTTTATTCTGTTATTCTTTAGAATATTTGTTGAATGTTGCTGAAATAAGTGTATGTGCAAAAAAAATAACCATTTTCTGGTTGCATGACGTTATATTTGGTAACATATTATTCTTTTAATTCTTTTGTGTGTTGTAGGAAATATGGTCTGGAGTAATAATTGTCAAATATTTCAGTAATCAAACCCATAACAGTTTTCAACCAGTAAATATCAAGCAGTAACTTCTGTAATATATTCAGAAAATACCAATTTTCTAGGAACATAAATATCAGTGAAATCAGTTGCAAGCTTTCATTCTGTTGGGTTCAGGCCTGATCTTTCCTTGCTGTCGTCATCTTTCTTTGTTTATGCTCTCTAGCGTTTTATATGTTCCATATGACATGTTAACATAATGAACATTTTGAATGAATACGTTGTGCATTTTGAATCTTTTATCAATATTTTAGTGCTAATTGCTGTTGATGTGAATGAAACTTTGTCTCGTATGTACATTAATCAATTTTGACATAAGGTTGTTTTGGTGTGGCTATTCCAGTTCCTATAGACCCGAGGTTGGCGAGATGTAACTCTGCAGACTATCTCCCTGTCCCTAACAACCAAAGGTAGGTACTGATGTTTGAACTAACTACCATAGTTCAGGATTAGATTACCTATATTTTTCATCTGGTGCATATTCTCCCAGTTTCTCTCACTGTTGAAGTCTCTAAATGAATTGGGTAATTTTTTTGTTGCACTTAGTATAGGAGAGATATGACGTATATCACTTAACTTCCTTATTTTAAATGAGTCTACATCACAGGGAGAATTATCAGGATTCATACAGACTTGAAAAGGCCTTGACATTTCATTTTAGGTCCCTCTTAAAATGCCTTGATTTTTAGTGTTAATCTTGAAAAACCATGAAAATCATCAACATAGCTTGAAAAGCCTTGAATTTGTACAAAAATGACATGTACTGGGTAGTAAAAATATTAAAGCACTCAAAAATATGAACAAAGTGATATCACAGTAATAGATTGTGTGCCAAAGACAATGAAGAATTCATGACAAACCTAATTTATTTTTTGGTTGGATGTGAAAGTAAATCTTTTTGGAAAATGTCTTATGGTCATACTGCTTTAAATAGTATCATTTAATGGTATGGCATGCTGGATTAAATAAAATATTGACAGACTAATAACCCAACTAAAAAGCCTTGAAAATGACAGTTGACAGCCTTGAAAAGGCCTTGAATTTTAGTGTTCCCTTTCTGTATGGACCTTGATTATAGATATTGTAAATATTAATCTGGCCCTGGGCTCACCATCTTCAAATAGAAAACTGGAATGTTGGAAAATCACTTACATATACTTAGGGGGGTTGTATTGTATGCAATGGCTGATTGCAATACTATTATTAAGACCCAATGCATTCACACCTACATGTCTAGAATCAAGAGGATATCCTGCATGCTCTTTATTGTGTAGTCAGTTATGTTTTGAAGAGACATGAGATTCTTTCTTTCACTTGTTACAGGCATATCTGTCCCCATGGAGTTGTCTCCCATCATGTAGACTCTCCCTCACACTCCTCCCCTTCCTCAACAAATGGGTCCCCCCTGAACAGCCGCTCCACATCCCCCAACCAAAGCTCTGATATGTGCATGGAGACTGTTCAGCTGCTGAAACTCCTCAACCTGGATCAGTACTCAGACCTACTTGGGAAACTCACCCTCAAACAGGTACTGCCATCAACTGTCTGCCCTATTTCTGTCTTTATTCTGATATAATACTTACTAGCCACCTTTATGTATGTTTTCATAACTGAAGGTTTGTTTTACATATAAATTGCTGTAAAGGCAGTCAGTCACTTTCACTGAAAAAGTGAAATCAAATAGAAATTCATTTTGTCATTTTTGTAGTTGCCCTTACTTTTGACTTCTGTAATAAAGGCAGTTCGTAATCATTCATTAACTCAATTGTTAAATTTAGCTGAAGTCCCAGTCTTCAGAAGACTTGACTAAAGCTGGTTTACCAAAGGATGCCCAGAACAACCTCAAGTCAAAACTGGAGACTATCAACAGGTAAATGTAATCAAATCATGTGAAACCACTCATCACATGTAAGATGTGAGAATGAAAGCTATGTTTTGTTACTCGAATAACACTACAAAAACTTTGAAGAAAATTTTGTACTTTGATCACAGACTTGCTGTCCCTTGGTGGAATCTGTCTGCAGTAACCTATTCTTGTTGTAATAGAAAAGAAGTATCAGTCATTTGCACTGTTTCAATGAATGTCATAATATTGTTTTGAATTTGGTTGAGCCAAGAAAGACCCTTACAATATGTAATTCTTAGTTATATACCAATTTCTATATGTACACAAAAAGTTGGAGGTTTTCTATGTGCAGTATGTTTTGCTCTTGTTCCAGAGAGAAAGGAAATCCTGCATTGAATGGTGTAGTAGATGGTTCCAGTGGGACATTGTCCCCTGCTTCTCCCAATAACATCCCCTGGCCCACAGCCCACGCTCCCCCTATTGTCCCCATCCCCTTCTTAACTGGCCCCATCTATGTCACCCATTCCCCTGCCCCTGTGGTACCCCCACCCCAGCCAGATGGGGTTGGGTCGGACTCCGAGGTATCAAGTGCACCTCCTAGTCCAACACAGATGTGTAATATGAGACAGAGACAGAAGACAGACAGCTCGGGATCAGATGATAATGACAAAGGTTGGTTATGTTATTATTGTCATGTTTTTGTCACTGTATTATATGTCAATCTTTAACTTCAATTACAATGTGCTTCAATCACCAGTAAATCATCTATTTCCTGAACTTACCACTTTGTAGAATGAAATGGCAGTCAATGACGTAGGCACCTTCTGTTTTTTTAATTACTTTTTTTCATTTTGAACTATGTTAAGTGTAAATTTATCTAATATTTATAAATGTCTTTGTACATATTTCCTTGAATGTATTTTGATCAGTGGTTTCTTTTTACAGACAAACCTAATGGTAGTGAGTTTGATAATCCGCGAACAGATGGTAAAAGAAGGTTGTATCCAAATCGCCCAGGATTACTTCCACCAAGGTCAGGAGGTCCTTATCCAGAAGAGGTGAAGGGTGGTTTGGTGAGACAGCCTTCCCCCCATAACGTCTACTCCGACACCAAGCCTGACCTGGCTCCTGTTGCAACTGCTGCTATGTCCACACACAACGGGTATCAGTCGGACCCTAATCCTAGTCCTGGGACATCGTCAGGCTTCGCACCGCGCCATGCCGTCTTTCCCTCCATCCTTCGTCCCTACGTGAAGCCAGCTCCAGCACACACAAACTTAGCTCTACACAACAAGAATGTCATCAACATGCCGCAAGAAGGTCACGTCAAGCAACAACCGCATATGATGATGTACTACCACGCCGTGCGCCAAGACATTCCCATGACCACTAGTGTGATGCCATTGAACCTGAACAACAATACAGTTACCAATCAAACATATAGTGCTAACAGTGAGGGTGTCAGTTCTCAAAGGATTATGCAGCCGTATAATATGTCATTGTGTCAACGAGGCCCGATGGTGCCTCTGCATGGCCCAAGATCTGTGCTTACCAATGTTAACAGTGCAACATCTGTGACTGTTTCACAAGGGGGGTCCCCACAGTCTATTCCGGCAGGCCACTCTGCCGGTCCAGCTAACCTCAGTGTGAAACCTGCTAATGGCGTCCCCGTTCCTATGCCCAACCCGTCTGGGACGCCACCAGAATCTGTTCATTCTGGCAGTGACTCTCCACTTCAGATGATTCACAATAGTCAGAGCGCTGCCTCCACCACTATCACATTCTCAACTGCAACGTCAACATTCTCGGCCGCTCCCCAGACAGTGTCCACTACCACTCATGCTCAGTGTAGTTCATGTGGCTGTAACTGTAACAGCGGCACCCCCTCCTCTACTAACTATCAGCCTCAGTACAATGTCATACCGCCATACCCGTACTACATGCAGGCAAGCATCTACCAAAATGGCATGATTCCACCCTTCTCCAACCTGCCCACGTACGGGCACCATGTCCCTCCGCCAGCCTATCCCAATGGACTAAATCATGAAATGTATGTGAACCATCCAGCTTTTCCACAAATGCATCCAGCCATGGCGGCCCCCCACTTGGTCCAGAGCTTGTATGGGAACCTCCACCATGGTCAAGGCAACCCCGGGGCCCATGTCAAACACAAACCTCAGGGCTGCTACAACTGTGGCTCATCCTCGCATAAAGCACAAGACTGCAAGGAAAATTCAATGGATGCTATGTCAGGTGAGCACAATTTATATGAGCAGTGCTTTATCCTAGTTTTTGTCTGTTCTCAGAGTGCCGTCAAGATGGATTAAGTGATCTTGATTTCTAAGGATAGGTTGACACTGATTATGATTGGTGATCCGTGAACACTATATCTGTGTACTGAGGTAGTTATCATCTAGGACCTGCATCACTTAGTACTTTCTCTCCTAGCCGAGGTGACATGCTGTGATATAATACGGAAAGTGTTCAAAGCAGCATTAAGAAGAACTCACTCACTCTATCTTGTGACTATATATGAGTAGTTTGAGGAAAGTTCTGTAATTGTTGGTCACAGTATTCCATATCTTGTTTAATAATGTTACAAAAAGACTAACAACTATGATAGATCATTGGCAGATTAAATCAGTTGTCTCTCAGTGATAATCGATAGTGATTTTTTTAGTAGTCTGTATTTGTATTCGCAAAAACATGGTTTCAGTTCTTCAGATGAGTACGATCAATTTCGCTTATACATTTCAAGGGTTGAAATTAAACATAAAAGTCAATGGTTCCTTATCATAATGATATAACAATACAGTAAATTATAGTTATGACGAACTTGAAGGAATCACTAATTTTAGTTTGTAATAACCGTAGTTCATTATAAGCTTTTATACAGCATCTATTCAACAAATGGTCGGGACTAAAAAATAAGGTTGTTATATCTGTCAGTTCGTTACAAGCGTGTTCGTTATAAACGTAGTTTACTGTATCAGATTTGGGTGGTCTGTATGTTCAGATACCAAAGATCTCAAGGACCCCCCCTTAATATCAAACTCTGAATTTAAGTAGAAATGTGTCCAGACCTATTTTGTTGCAGATATAATCAGTCTGAAGGTTGACTCTGTGTAAAGAATTATGCTTGTCCTGAGAAAAACTAACTTTGACATGTTTTCTGCAGGACACTACCACCTGGACTACAAACCCAAGTCCGACTCTGACTGACAACGACTCAGACCTGGTCGGTATGGACGATCAGGACTAGTGCGTGTCAGCTGTGTGGCTTCTCGGTGAACAAACCGTCAGCACAAGTTCATTGGCTGTCTTTCATGATGTTGAAGATACAAAGCTGACGATAGGCTGTGTGCAGTTTTCTGTTCAACCTTTTTGATGAAGTTTACACAGTTGACTTGAGTAGATGTTTCTGAAATGAAGTCCAAATGGCAAGCACTCAGATTAGACAGTCTGACTTTGTGCTGAATAACAATATTTGTCATGTTGTCAAGTTGATTTTGATACAATTCATCAAGGTTTTACGAGTATATACGAGCCATGTCAGTTAGTGATTGAAAACTGTAGAATTTGGACGCTTGTTGAGGTCGTGAGGTCACAGTGGTGTGTTGTGATACTGGTATGCTGACAATTACTCCCTAGCTTACAAACATTATCTGCCAAGTGCTGAAGCATCACAATTTTCCTTGGTGTTATTTCCTCTTTTAGTCCCTGTTCATTGATGTGAATGAGGATTTTTAATATCATATCTACCAGTCTTTGTACCTGTGCCCTATTTTCATTCTCCTATCATTTAAGTATTACTTCATCTTAAAATCAGTGAAGTCTTCTCAATGGTGTCATTTATCATACAGTATATTTCATATGTTTATGTTAATATTGAGAAGAATGGATATAAGATATAAAGCTAGATGACAATTTATAAAAATGCTTCGGATTAATCAGTTTTTGTCAGTTTGCAAGACAGTGGGCTTTAAGAAATTCCTGCTGCTTGGTTTTAAGGGCAGCAATGAAAGTAACAAAGTTTTTTTTTAGTTTACTTATCTGGCCATCAGTGTTTATCTAGGATGAGAATTAGCTCACAGTCATAACACAAATGATCACTGTATTCGTGTATTCTGTATGTCAATTGTGCACACTTCATGCCTCTGAGCATTTGTACTTAGCAAAAGCGACAGACAAAAGGATTGATGGCTTACCCTTCTCTAGCTGTCTGTCCTGCCTACGTGTTTGTGCAATGATGAGTTGGTAGTTGATGACTGTCAATCTGTAGCAGTGCTACAGGGTGCCATTTACTGTAGCCGTTTTACGTAGCTTCAGTCACACATAATTTCACCAGTAAATTATTTTAGCTATGGAGATATTGATTGTCAAGACATATCTAGCTAGCAATGATCTTATTGCCAATTCATATCTAACTGTTGAGAGAAGCTGTTGTATGTGGCTTATACAAGTTGGTCATATCTTTCACTGAGTAGCTGTTTAGATGATAGTATTTACTAGTGATATATTTTTAAGGAATTGAAATTAATTCTCGACAAAAATCACTGTTATCAACTTAGCGGTTTGCACTTTGATTGCAGACCTATTTCCAGTTGGAACTGGTTATTTCTGGTTTGTCTCATGTCACACTAGTCATGTCATACATCAAAACACTTCGCCCAAGTGCTTGTTTATCATTATGATATTTATTTTTATGAGTTTATTTTATGATGTATGTATATTTCCCAACGTATGTGCTCAAGTAGTGTGGTGTCCACTCCTGTATGTTTATGTATGTACCATTGTCTCTTCACTGCATTGCTATGACAGACTCACTCATGCAGGTATCAAGGTCACAGGACAGAAGTTACTGCAGCTGAAATTACATTTGAGAGGAAATTACCGGTATCCTTCTTGATGACAGGAAATTATCCTTCTTGATGAGAGGAAATTATCCTTCTTGATGCTTTGCATTTCTGTTTTGGTAGATTTTTTCCAAAGCAATGTGCAGTTGGTATTTGCATTTAAAACAATGTTTATCAGGTTGAAGGATGGACTGTGTGTAAAGTAGGCAAAGAAATAGACCTTAGACCTTTTCTTTCTGATCACTCATCATCATCATTGTCTTTGTGTACCATTCAAGTCAGTTTCAATTAATATCTCTATCCAATAACTCTAGTCTTGGATGTATACAGGTGAGGTTCATATGCAATATTTCATAAATTGTGTTTCAGTACCCAAATGTTTATCAAGTAGTTAAACCACATGGCGTTCCTGTTAAGCAGGTGTGTCACACTAATTTATTGTATGAAGGAAATATATTACAAACTTGCCACTAGGGTAACAGTATGACATGCAGACTTAAGTACCTGTTCTCGTGCCAATACATGAATGTTTATTTATATATGCTCATGAAGAAAGTATTAGCAATGTCATGGATATAAGTTATTGTTTTTCACAATTCAAGAGGCTGGTTCCACAAGCTGATCTTAATGCTATGACAATCGTAAGTCCTACTGAATAGATACTATGATAGGCATTGGCTTAAGATTTCCTTATAGAACAAGGCCCTGCTTTCTGGTCATAATGGTACCACGATGACCATAGCTTTAACATGTGTTGTTTGTATGGTTATCCTGATAACAGAAATGACCTTTTGGCAAAAATGAGGCATAGACTAATAGCTGTAAGTTGAAATGTTTGTCATATCCTGTTGCTACTGGAATGGAATTCTTGACAGATTGATCTCCATGTTAGTACATGTTTGTGTGTGACAAGGACAAGCTGACAACATTAACAAGGAGTGGACAGATGCTTAGGGTTTCAGTCTAATCAGACATTGTCCTCCCAGTTCCCATCTAAAATCACTGTACATATTTTTTGTATGTTAATTGGTTTGCTTTCAAGTGTGCTGTTTAAAAAATTGTGTGCCAAATGTTTTTGTTCAGAAGATTTAGAAAATCTTGGGTCATCCCCAAAGAAAGTCACCTGGCTTAATATTCCCCATCCCATTATCAACCCTTGGCAGTCAGAGATGAAGCTGTGACGTGTGAGCATCACTTGCAGCTGTTTAGCAGAACATGGGACCTGTAATACTGAGGACTGTCAAATATTGTCCCTGTGTGCAGCCACACTTGTATTGTATGGATTGCAGACTTTTTCACACCAATTAGCTTGGTTGTTAAAAATATGAATAAAATCGTAGCTCAATAGTTTTTTATGTTTGCCATGAAGATGTTTCAGTCAATCAGTTTTGACATAAAAAAAAGTAGAAACATGATACTGTTTAATGTGCAGAGTTTTTGGTATTTTACTGTAACATGTCCTGTATATAACTTCAGAGAAGGCTTTGTTCTCTTGACAGGCTTGCAAGGGCCAGAGATTTTTATCAAGCATTATTTGAAAAGTTAATAGTTTCTTTCCTTTTGAATTGTTTATATTGTTGTATTTTTAATGTTTCTTATCTGTCAAAATTAGAGTTGTCAGGGAAAATAAGACTAATATGATTACAAATATGAATAAAACATTTAAGCTGTTTTCATTTAAATTTTGGCGAATCTGTAAACCCAAGAATAAATATAAGTGGCCTTATTATTTGTATTATGTCAACATTGATGCTATGTTAGAACTTCAAAATGAAACCAATTGTTGTCCATTAAGGCTCAATTTATTACATGGACTTGTGTAACAAATTTAGTATGAAGGATAATGCATTGGGACATGGATAAAGTGCTGAAGCTATTGACACTGGTAATCTGACCTTCATTGTGAATCACATCCTTATTCATCAAAGCAATAACATTGACTGTCATAAGTTAAGATTTATCATTAAGACTCATGTTAGTTGAAGTTATTAGGTGGCTTTGTAGACCAGGATCCTTGCTATTAGTTGGCAGTAATCAGTTACTTGTTTCACAAAGCGATCCTAGTGCTAGGACGACAGTTGCAACTCCTATAATGTAAGATAGTCTTACGATAGTTGTAGGGCTACAATCATTGTATGAAATGAGCCCCAGGTCTTTGTTTGCTTTAGACATCAGCCCAGCAGTATATTCCACATCTTACTGACAATTGTACTCAAGTAGTCTGTTCATCTCTAGGATTCATATGAAATCTATGTCTTGTGTACCTTGAATTTTATTGATGAAGAGAAATATTTCTTTAAAAATACACATAGAACACTAGAGCATGTCATTCTAAATATCCATTTGTGCCAGATTTGCACATTGATGATAATTTACTGCCATTGTGCTCCCCACTTGTCTAACCTGTCTTGGCCTTGGTGGCTATAAGGTCTACTCTGCACAGCCAAAGATTTATTTTTCTATATTAGACATTTCTTCATTCAAATACATGACATCTTTTACTTAACCTGTGTGAGTGATTGACAGATAAAGGATGTTTTGCTTTAACCAAACATTTTGCAAGCACTGCTATGCAAAGGTGTAAATTTCTTTCTTGTATGTACATAAGTGGGTGAGAATGAATCTGAAACTTGTATCAAAATCAAGGGCTATATATATAAAACTGAAAAATTTTGTGATCAAATTAGCTTATGTGCATAAATAGCTGAGGTTAGCATGTTAGTATCTTACTATGTTTCATGACAGGGTGCAGTTCACATAGCAATCCTGGCGATCCATACCCCATTCACACTGACTCGTGGTAGTCATTAGACTAAGTTTGCTTTGAGTAATGGAGCCCTGGTCACCATGAATTTATTTCATTGGATAATTGTATATGTCTATCAGATAGGTACATTTTTTACATAATAATCAGTAGCTCTGTGATGCCAGTCACCATAAGATACTACAAGATGGATACAGTTTCATGAAATCCTTGACATTGACATTGAATCAATGTTGATTTTATGAGATACTGAGAATGAAATGTACATAATTTCTGTACAGTGTTATTTGCATGGGAATGAAGTGATATTTATTCTCTTGTAGAAAGTCACAAGTATGAGATCAGTCACAAATAGAAACAAGTACTGTGATGTCCCAATGCTGCCCTGCCCCTCCTTTCTGTAAATACAAGATCAAGTTGTGTATATTCGAGTTATATGCTTACTACAGCCAAAATAGTTTGTCTCATATTTCAAAGCATATCCGCCAGCCAGTTACTTTTTTGTCAACAAATAGAATTCTGATGTTTCACGTTTGGGTTAAAAAAGTATGCAGTATGATTTGAGGAATTTAGACCTTGCTTTAGCTGCATTTTATTGACAGAGTCCTTGTTTGCAAGTATAATCACTTGTTGAGGCATTGTTCTGACATATGGATCTTGTTTGAGTGCTTATTGTTGCGTATTGACATCCCGTTTGTGCTTTGTGCTGGAGTGAGGAGTTGTCTCAGCACTCAGTTTCCTTGTGGAGTTGATATGGAACTTCACCAAATCACCTTGACTTTCCTTGTGGTCAGAGTATAGCCTTATTGAGCAGCCTTGGATTGACTGAGAATCATGCCGAATAGTGACATGTTTCATCTATTAGAATTTACCTATTAATGCAGTTAAAACCTTTTATTGTATTTGACTCGATATTTGCAATTTTGTTCATAACTTATTTCAGATTAACAGTGCACAGTACTCTCAAAAGTAAGAATGTGATGTACCATGTATTGGGGGAGGGATGAGGTATTAGGCGACCCCCAAACTTGTCCCTTGAAATGACTATCTAAATGATATGCAGTGAGGAAAGACCAACTTCTACCAAGAGCAACATACAGATGATAACATACATCATACGTAGGCCATGTTTTGAAGCCAAGCTAGAAAGGCCTGGCCTGCTTGTCTTATCTTATAACTGAATGGGAAACTATGCTATATATATATTTGATGAACGAATAACATTATCTGTAGCAAGTTGATGTGTAGGCCTAGTGCAGGTGTACTGTCTGTCTGGTGTGGTGCCGTCATTCCTTATAAGTGCTGTTGTTGAGCATTGTTTATACACATACACATACACATACATCCTAGTGCATACATCTGTACATTGTTTGGCCCTTGGCTGTATCTGTTTTGCCAATCTCCAACACCCACCATTGTCAAGCTCATCACCTGTTCAGAAACATGTGTAAACTATGTCACCAGTATTTTTTTAAAGGTAAATGTATTTTTATTGAAATTCAGAGCAAGATGTTTTCTTTATGTACAGAGGATTATAAGCAACTGGTAGTTATTTTAGCCAAAGTGTGAGTGTGGAAAACGCCAAAAAGTGTGCGCGAGTGTTGCTGTGTGTAGACTTTTCATGAGTTTGGTGCCAATTTTACTGTTTTGTCTGCAGTTGTGCCATGAGAGTTAGTGTGTGGTATGGCGGTGACGATGGATCTTGTGTTGGAGGCTGTTGTCAGTGCAGTGTTAACATGGTTGATAATGAGTTGCTCCATTGAAAGTCATCAACATTGTATCAAGTGTTTCTTTTAAAGAATGGTTAATATATTTCCCTTTTTTGTTTCCTAAGGTATTATTGTATGTCATATTGATCAATTTGATATGAATTGTTAACAATTCATCTAAAATTCATATTCATATAAAAGTTGTTGTACATAAAAGTTTTGTGTGTCCAAATAATTAGGATATCTTAAATGCAATCAATATTCAGACTAGTTTAGTCATTTATCTTAACAGGTTCCCAAACATACATTTTTCATGGCGTTCTATATTTCAGTGTGGCATATTTTCATTTTTGTATGAGGTTTAAGCAATGTCTAAGCCTTCTCTGACCATGTTTAAAACACTCCACAAAACAAAGTACTGAAACCAAATGGGATGTTGCCAAATTGCTTCTTTCTTCCTATAATGTAGAAGAGAATCTGTGAAAACCTATAGAACATCATGTACTGGTGTGAGTATTTTGACAATGGCCAAGTACAACGGAAATTATGAACATGTAGCTTATGAAGAGGCCTAGTTTGAAATGTAAAAAAAGTGAATTATTATGTTTGTTACACTGAATTTGCAAGAAGATCCCTAAAGAACAGTTTTATCTTATGGTCACTTGTGAATTAGAAATAATGAATTTTAGATTGGTAGTGGAACATGGAATTAAGTTAATTTAATAGTATATTCATCTAAATTATTGTTTGAATACCATTCCCCATGTTATCAGTGTAACAGCATCCTTTTAACAGAATGAATGAGAAGCGTTTTATTGTGTGTGTCTGATGTTTGTTGATCAAAAGTGCAACACTTAATTCCCAATGTCCATTACAATGGAAACGAGATAAAAATGGTTTGGTCTGTTTCTTCACAACGTTATTCAATTCCAGTGACAAATGTGATGGCTTTTAGAATGGTTTTATAGGTGCTACTGTTATTCTATGGGATTTTATTTATTGGATCACTTGTTACAGATTCAAATTATTTTATGTTCTTTGATTTCCATTAATGTCATTACTTTTAGACAATCCAATGACATGGCTGTTTGACCATCCAATGACAGTTTGTATATTACGACACTACCGGATATTATTGTACTTTTATCTGATATTAGTTGACTTTATGGAAAGCAGAATTTCCACAAACACTGACTAGATTCGAAACCTTTAGGTAAGTGTCAAGTCTTGTTAGTAGGCAGAGAGTATTATCTTCACACATTTCACCAGTAGTCACATGTTAAAATTCTCCAGTTTGTCTTACCGTGTATACATAGGACTGTTGGTAGGTTGCTGTAGAGTAGGAGCTCTCAAGTATTCCATGTTTATTCCAGTTGTGAGAAAATGTTGAAATGTTCAGTGCGACTTATCGGACATTTGACACAATATGATGTATGCCTTGTTGAATAAAGAAAATATATATATTTTGTTAGATAATTTTCATATCTTCGCCAACTTCCTTGGCTAGATTTGTGGTATCGTTGCTCAAAGATACAACCCGATCTGTTCAAATGAGAACTTAACATTGTGAGTATCATTATACTAAATTTTGTGGATATTAATATAAACAGCTGTTTGCATATGGAAGTTGGTCTCCAAGACTGTTTGAAAGCTTGCTTGGAAAGTTGACTTTGTACATATTTATCAAATCACTGTGTTCCTGTACAGAGAAAGAATGGTTTTTAAGTTAATGTGTGTATGAAATGCCTCCTGTGTTGTTTATGTTGAAATATTTTTCATCAGCATGGGCTGATGCTGCAAGGTTGATATATTTGTAGCCATTGAACACGGAGGGAAGTGTCAATTGTATTTTATGCATCAAAATAACTGATCTTGTAATAGGAAATCATGACAAATAAAGCCAATAAAAATGGATAAAATGAACTCCACATTTTTGTTCTTGTCCTGTTTTAACACCCTGGATATTTTGCTTTGGTTGGTTGGTTTGTTGTTAAACGCCGCACTCGGCAATATTCCAGCTATATGATGGCGGTCTGTAAATAATCTAGTCTGGACCAGACAATCCAGTGATTGACGTTATGAGCATCGATCCACGCATTGGGATACGATAACATGCATCAAGCAAGTCAGCGAGCCTGACAACCCGATCCCGTTAGTCGCCTCTTACGACAGTGTCAATCTAATCATATAACACTCTTTCAAAATTTAAACAAATGGCGATGTTGCCAGTAATCGACTCGCTATATCTCAAGTACAACTTGAAACATCTTAGTTTAACGGAGCACAAGGACATCCATCTCCAGTCTTATCTGAGGATGAGTGTCTCGGTGGTCTTTTGGTTGAGCATCTGCCCAGAGTGGAAGGTCCGGGGTTTGATTCCCAGCAGTGTCATACCAAAAAACATTAAAAGATTGTTCTTTTTGTTACTGACCCGTAAAGATCTAGAGAATAGGTCTTCAGCAACTCATGCTTGCCCTAAAAGGTGCCTATGCTTGTCATAAGAGGCGACGGACAGGGACTGGGGGGGTCAGGCTCTCTGACTTGGTTGATGCATGTCATCGTATCGCAATTACCGGTATGTAGATCAATGCTCATGTTAATCACTGGATTGTCTGGTCCAGACTTGATTATTTACAGACCGCTGTCATATAGCTGGAATATTTAATAAGAATAAGAAACCTTAATAAAATTTAAGCTTCACGGGAGGGATCCGGAAATATTTTTTTGCCAATCAGACATTTGGCCACGCCCACCTCATATCTGAGGTGTTGAATGTTCATGCATGAATAAAAGAATAAACTCAAGTGCCTCTTACATAACATATATACATGATATACATACAATTTATTAACAATGCAATGACACAGATCTGATATATACAATTTCAACCTAAAGCTGTCGCTTTTGTCTAGCCTTCAAGCGTCGCATCTTTGGTGTTGGGTCAAAATCCGTCAACTTTGGTCCACAAAGCGATATACGCATAAGTTTGTCCAGTGTCTCCGTCGTTAGTCTACATCTCAGTCGCGTCTTAATGAGGTTTTGTTTAGAAAACCCCCTCTCACATTCTACACTGGACACGGGCAAAACACTACTGATCTCCATGAGTTTAACAATATTGGGGAGTTATCGGTCAATTTGGAAGCATGTGCTTTACTCAGTAGCTGTCCATATGTCAACCGTCTGTAGTTGTTGAAGATTAAAGGCCGAAATATTCCCCATTCTCGTTCCAATTGGTCTTTGTCGAATGGAGTATGTCCTTGTCGTCTGCTGCCAAAATGGATTCCTAACCTAGAAATACTCTCGTCCCCATACGTCGAAAGGTCACTAGCTTTGTCAGGGAAATTTGTCAGGTCAAAGGTTCCAAATGCAAAATACAATTCGTTGTCTGGAAACCTGTCGGTCACATTGTCAAACAGTATTCTTGCACATTGCCTAGCTCTGTCAGTCAGTGTCTTGTCGTGATGCGATCTCGTCATTGTCACATTTTAAAATTCGTCTGTATCGTCAGTTTCGGTCCGTATGTTGGTTTATCTGTCAAGTAATGTCCCTTAAGTCCGTCCAAGAAAGCAACAATTGTGTTCTTCATGTCCCCATAGTTCAAGTCACGAGTCTGTAGTGTCTTACTAACTATGCCTATCATACCAAATAGGTCCTGTAAAAACGCGGTCATTAATCTAAACTTGTATGTCGTCAACTGTCATAGTAGGGAGTCTGCCATGATGTCCGTGTCCCTATTCTCTTCTAAAATGGCAATAAGTGCCGGCAACGATTTTGCACAGTTGTCAATAGCTTTTGTCATTGACAGCCATCTAACCTTGTGGACCTCTGAAGGGCGCACATGGGGTTCATCTAGTAAGTCCTGCCACATTTGCAAACAAGATAGATTCTTGGGCAAGCGACTAAAATATGCTGACAAAGTGTTCAATATTGATTCATAGTAACTGACCTCTTTTACAGTCTTGGCAACATCCACACATGCTTATGCTAATCGGTGAGCCACACAATGCATCTCTACTAGATGAGGGCAAAAGTCTTTCATGTTTGCGGCCACCCCAGCACTTCTACCTAACATGACGGCGGCACCATCGGACCCCATTCCATATACTCTCCCCAAAGAAAGTCCAACACTCTTAAAATAGGCTAACAATGATGCAGTAATCGTCTGTGCATCCGCAGCATAGACACGAAGAACCTTAGCGAATTTAATTTTCAAATTTCCTTCAACTAAGTAAAAAAAATAGATGATCAAGTTCTTCTCACTAGACAAGTCAGTGCTTTCGTCTATGATGAAGGAAACTGCCGGGCTGGCAACAAGTTCTCTCACAATCTCATCCTCGATCTGCTCCGATATAAGTTCTATAAACTCGGAAGCGGCGGTGTCCTCTCTGTAGAGCTTAGAAGTTATTTTTGCCCCGTTAATTTCCGCCAAGACATTCAACGACTCATACTTGTCAATGGCAAGACACTCCTCTGAGATATAGTATACGTTCCGTAGAAGCGTACACACAGCGTCGTCTACTTGTATAACGCGTTCAGCGAAAATCTTTGGTTCTTCGTTGGACGATATCTCTGATGCAGTTGCCAACTTCAATATTGTTTATGAAGATAACAATATTTTTACTTCTTTCCACAACACACAAGTGCCTAGAATAACAAGTGAAACTGAAATCAGATAATATCACATTTTATTCAATCTGAATCAGGACATGCTATTTCCGTCTCCCTGTACTCTTCTTGACTCCAACTTGATGCCGCCTCCTGCCGCTCTGACCTTGGCGCATTATACCGAGTTGAGCAGCTCTACTTGTGACATCATTCCGACAGAAGGGTGATTCCGAAGCCATAAAGTCTGGGTCAAATACATCCATCGACTTGAGAGATTTCTTTGTAGGTCGCTGATGAGGAAACGGTTGGTCAGCCACAAGAAGGGGGTTTTGGGCGTGCTTACCTCCCTTTGGGGTTGGTAATGAATACTGTAAAGAAAGGACAAACGCATATGAATAGAGATAAAACAAAAACTTCATCCAAAAGGTGCTTGCGAGGTAACTCTAAAACTCAAGGGGACCCCTATAAATTTTGTCCATGTATGAATTTGGGTCCCAGGTCAGAAGCTTTGCTTGAATTCATTGCACATGCTCAGAAGCCTTTAGTCTACCATAAAGTGGAATTTCACTGTTAGACTGAAGAAACGTAACCTCTACACCCTGAACTTCAGTAATGTCGGTAATCTGTAACATACAAAATACAGTCTTCATAAATTCAGTTATTCAAATAGCTCACAGTACTCAAATGTCAATTTTGCATCCAGTTAAATTCTGAATATTAAGGTCAGGTTGACAAAGGAGCAATATAGTACAAAAGAAAATTGTGGATGACAAGACAGAGTTGTACCCTTAGTCCCCTTGTGGAGAGCTTCTTCCTCCTGGAGAAGAAGTACTTGACGGTGCCATCATCCTGCACAGTCATTGCGATACGCTTCAGTGTATGGTTGCCACACTGGGGACAAAACAATTTCTCCATTTTTGACGTAATCCTGGAGAAACAAAGTGAGGGTTACTTCACATAGATGCTCAAATTGACAGCAAGTACATCACAAATTGTTTACATAATAAATATGTTGTGCATTCTTACAGTCTTGAAAGCAAACATTTTGTTTTTGCTAACAATGTCTCCCTCCCCTCTACATATGAAAACATTGTACGCTATGGGCCCTTCCTCAAAGTGTTATATTTGAGCATATTTGATGGAAGCAGACAAAAGTTTGAACAGAAAAAAGTCCATGGTTACTGACGATAATATTGTTTGTTTTTTTGTTTGTTTGTTGTTTAACGCAGCACTCAGCAATATTCTAGCTATATGACGTCAGTCAGTAAATAATTGAGTCTGGACAGACAATCCAGTGATTGACATCATGGGCATCAATCCACGCAATTGTTTTTCTTATATTTCATTTAAGGTAATTCACTTGGCTATGGATTGGCTATGAATAATCGAAACAGAATCTACATTCAAAGCCTCCACAAGCATCATTACACAACCAAAACAAGACTCATATCGCGTTTATCTTCCCATTTTCCAAACTGCAACTGCTCAGCTATGTAAACTGCATTCCATACAGTTTATTTTCTGTAAATTTGGCTTTGTTATACTTAGGATTAAGTCAGTGATGACCTAAATAAGGTCAGCTAAATGTGCGAGGAAGTGTAACTAACCCAAGACCTAAGATGTTTACCACTACGGTGAACCAATGAGCAGGAGTGAGAGAGTGAGTAAGGTTTTGCGCTGCTTTTACCAATATTCCAGCAATGTCAAGGCGGGGGACACCAGAAATGGGCTTCACACATTGTACCCCTGTGGGGATTCAAACCCGGGTCTTCGGCATGATGTGCGAACGCTTTAACCACTAGGCTACCCCACCGCCCCCATAGAAGCAGGAGTATGGTGCCGACACAGTGATAGGCGAAGGATGTGAAACCCATGCAAAGCAGACCCTATCTAACTGAGGGATGCTGTCACTAAACACTAAGCCATCATGGCCCTGCAAATTGAACCAATTGCATTTTCAAAACTATTACATGCCATCTTCATATATACATATACTGTGCACATGAAATACACAAGGACGGAACGTACTTGAAGCAGGCAAAACACCGAAGTACATAACTCTTGGCTTTCTTGATAAGCATTCCATCAACTGAGACCACGTTCAAACCCATCTGGATTAACACATTCTGCAAGACAAGAAACACATTGTAAAAAAATAGTTAATAAACAAAAGATGTGACAAGGCTTCAAAATTGCCAAAAATATCAAATCATGTGTATCAAACAATGTGTTAAATCATTGTTATTTTCAGAATTTTCCTCTCTCATCTTTGATCACTGACAATTTGATGATGACTTCAATGTATTATGGATATGATGAAGTCACAACCCTAACTTCACCCACTGATAACACTTTTCTAAATATTTGGAATTAAAACTGTTGATTTTAATCATCAGCATTGTCTCATGGCAACAGGGGGTTCCTGAACATGGACAGCATCGAGACGTCAAATGACACGAAAAAATGCATGTTGATGTCTGTGGTAGTACTGACACGTTCCTGTTGCTTTCAATCTCATTAAAATCAGATCTTAGTTCTCACTACCGCTAAACAAAGATCTGAGGACATCCCATTACAGATCAGGTCAGAACAACCTTACATCTGACCAATCAGAGCGTTGCTTACCAGATCAGTAAAGTGATAGTCGGAATGAGTTTTCTAATTATGCAACCTGGAAAAGGTTAACACAAGGTATTCCAAACACTAGCTAAGGGCTGTACGCCGATCTCTCGCTTCAATGGGATAGCCTGTGTGGAGTTTTGTTGTTTGTTTGTTGTTTATTCCAGCTATATGACGGCAGTCTTTCAATAATCGAGTCTGGACCAGACAATCCAGTGATTGACATCATGATCCAGACAATTGGGATATGATGTCATGCATCAACTTAGACAGCGAGCCTGACCATGCAATCCCGTTAGTACTGCCATACAATATACAATAGCCATCTATTGGACATTAAGGGATTTTCTTTTGTTACGTTTTCAAATTTTGAAACAATATATTCGGATCGGAAATCACCAGTTGGAAACAAGTGCTGTAAAGCTAGAGAAAGCTGCTTTCTGATTGGCTAAAGTTGACTTCTTATCAGTCATTTCATTGGTCGGTCAAAGTTCGCGAAAGGTCATTCTGACCATAATCTGATGTCTTCACATCTTTGTTTCGCTGTAGCGAGAACTGAGATCTGATCTAAATGAGGGCTGTCATATAGCTTGAATATTGCTGAGTGCGGCGTTAAACAACAAACAAACAAATCTAAATGAGATTGCTGTGAATTTTATATTGTCATGCACATGCATATTGCACATGCTGCACCATCAACTCCACCTGGTGTTACTGGCAGCTCACCTGCATGGCAAAGTCTGTAGTCAGACATCCAACAGTGACTTCTGCCCTCTCAGCATCACCGCCACCCATCTGCTTCTTCACCTCCTTGATGTTGGACGGAGTTATCCACCCTTCTCCATCCTCCCCCTCACTTTCTTCTTCCTCCTCACTCTCCTCCTCCTCCTCCTCTTCACCTTCCACTTCCTCTTGAATCAAACTACTTGGCAGCACCTGCCCTTCCTTAAATACTCGAACTGCTGCAGGTTTCACCTGAACTTTGGCTTGTCCATCTTGGATTATTTTTGCATATGAAACTGTGTTTGTACCAGCACTGATGGACGTCTCTGACAGTGAATCAACCTGATTTGAGGATAATGAAGGATATTCACCTTCGTCAACCAAGGGCTGCTTGTCCTCACTCGAGTTATCCCTTACCTCAATAAACACTTGAGGGACTTCACTTGTCGCCTGACTATCTTTCAGCAAGCCGTTTGTGGCCCCTGTGTCACATATCACTTCTGAGTCATTACGGTAATGGCCACCAAGGTCCCGTGAGAGGCTGGGAAACTCCTCCTCATTCTCCAGCTTGTTCACAAGGCAGCCAGATGTGGAGTCATCCCGCACCTCGCTGTAGATGTGCTGGACAGACTTCGTTTCAATGGCAGTTCTCGGTTTTGTGTCTGAGGGGAGAGGATCTCTCGACAGAGCTGGGAAGTCACTCTTGTCAGTCTCCTGTGTGGGTTCAGAACATGCATCATTTACTGCAACACATGTCTTTTGTGCATGCGAAGTCACTTCACTGTGGGATGGAGATGAATGTTTGACATCAGACGGTACATCTGCAATGTTTTGTTTCTCCAGTGTTGCAGCCACATCATCGATGCTCTCCGATGTACTCCTAGACTGTGTCTCACTCTGAAATTGAAGACAATTAATTATATTTCCATTCTATTATAAATACCCTGGACCCATTTGCCCCAATAGCTTCATAGTGAGCCTCATTTGAATACTAGTGATGGAGGTGACTGCGTCACTGCTGACATGAAGGTAATTGGCGAATAGGTAAGGATATTTATTCATCATAGCATGGAGATATGAGGGTAAATAAAAAAGTTAGTGGCCTCACAAAGAATCATTTAGAATCAAAATTGTTCCCACATTATTTTCCTTTGATCTGTTGTCTTCAATACACTTGTTCCAGTGATACTCCAGTCTTGTTATACTTGCCTTATAGAAGTCTTCATCAAGGTCCCCTCAAAAGACCTTGGTGGACTGTAGTGACTCAAAACTGATCACAATAGTGTCAGTGAAATGATGAATTGGAACACATTGGAAGGCCATAACTATGTGGAGATCTAGGACAGCAATAAGTGTATGGGGATCTAGGACAGCCGTAACCGTGTGGGGATCTAGGACAGCCGTAACCATGTGGGCAATCTAGGACAGCTGTAACCGTGTGGGCGATCTAGGACAGCTGTAACCGTGTGGGCGATCTAGGACAGCCGTAACCGTGTGGGCGATCTAGGACAGCCGTAACCGTGTGGGGATCTAGGACAGCCGTAACCGTGTGGGGATCTAGGACAGCCATAACCGTGTGGGGGATTTAGGACAGCCATGTGTTAGGATCAAGGACAGTCGTAACTGTGTTGGGATCTAGGACAGCCGTAACCGTGTGGGGATCTAGGACAGTCGTAACTGTGTGGGGATCTAGGACAGCCGTAACCGTGTGGGGATCTAGGACAGCCGTAACCGTGTGGGGATCTAGGACAGCCGTAACCATGTTGGGATCTAGGACAGCCATAACCATGTGGGGGATTTAGGACAGCCATGTGTTAGGATCAAGGACAGTTGTAACTGTGTTGGGATCTAGGAAAGCCGTAACCGTGTGGGGATCTAGGACAGCCGTAACCGTGTGGGGATCTAGGACAGCCATAACCGTGTGGGGGATTTAGGACAGCCATGTGTTAGGATCAAGGACAGTCGTAACTGTGTTGGGATCTAGGACAGCCGTAACCGAGTTAGGGTCTAGGACAGTAGTAACTGTGTGGGGATCTAGGACAGCCGTAACCTTGTGGGGAATCTAGGACATGGTTACGGCTGTATACAGACTTATACGCATATACTAGACAATCAAGAATGAACATGAGCTGAGTTTCTAATGACCAACTGTTTTACTTGAGTGGTATGCAGGGTTTTGCACGATGCACAAATGTGCGTCCAGTATGCACAAATGTGCGTCCAGTATGCACAAAGGTTGAGAATGGACGCAGAAAAAGAATATACTGCATCCCTTGGGAGGCACAATAATATTCATTGAACCTACAGCACATCAAGAGCAGTTATTGGTGTCTGTCATGTCATCTATCAATCATGACCACTGTCCACATGATCATTGGTTCATTCCAGGCTCTCAAGTAATTATCTAAACGTACAGTACACTACACCATTTCATTACTTTACCGGACCTTCATATTGCTTTCAAGGGCCCTTAAAATAAACTATTGGGGGTCCCCTGGACCCCCACTTTTATAAGTCAAGGTAAAACCCTGGGTAAATGTTCTGATATGGCTAGTAAACGATGAAATGACACATGTACTTGCCTGTGTTCCAAGGTAGAAGCCAGCAATCTGTGCAGGCTCATTGGAAGCTGGAGTGGAGAGATTAATCTCCGTCTGAAACACAACACAGTTCACATACACTGGTGTACATAACTGTAACATGGTTCAACAGCCAACTAATCAGGTTCTACAACACTAATATCTGATGACATGACATACCAGTGTAGTTTATCTGGCACAGAAACTTGCCATTGAGAATGATATGGGATTTGCGGACATTTACCACTTTGGTGAAACCCACGAGTATGGTTATATTGCAGGCTAACCCAGAAACACTATCAGGGCGAACTGGAATCCAACACATGATCATAGCTTTCTGGCAGGCCTAAGGGATGCTGCTCTGCACAGCCATATTCCGGCACCTTAGACAACAGGGCTAACCATGGCCTGAAGTTTGTGGTAGAACGATTTCTCAGCAGAATTGGCAATCTTTTTGTAAATATAATCATATTTGTTTATAATATAAACAGTTCATGAATCAGACCAACAAACAAACACCTGATTGGATGTAACATTAACAACTTTTAAGGGGTCGTTTTAGCACGAATCCTGTTACCTAGGCCTCTTCTTAATGTAACATTGTTCACAATATCAACATGTTCACAGACAGAGACAGAGATAGACAAGCAGATGGACAGGCAGACATACACACAGACATACACACAGAGACAGATAGACAGACAGCCATAACAAGCAACCTTTGTGTCCGGTGATGTCTTGATGTGCGTCGTCCCCACATGTTCCTTCTCTAGCTGATAAGCGAGTGCAAGGACTCGGATGTCAACAGCTGACAAGCTCAGGTAATCTCCAGTCTTCTTGGAAAACTCTGTCACTGTAGGAAAAAACATCTAGTTTCTACTCTAGTTCACCTATAAAGGGTTTCTGGAAAACAGTTTATGCTAGGTGAGCTAAATATACTTAGCAGGGCTCGATTTAAGGAAGTTGACTTACACTTGCACCAGGCGCAAGTTGACATGAGAACCTACTTGCATCAGGCAAAACCAAGTTCCACCCTGGTCCCATTAATTTAGCCAAGTTCAAACAGATGGATAGATGCATAAACTAGTCTAAACAAATAAAATCTCAGATCTCTGAAGACTGTCATGAGTTTCCAAAAATTAATAGCATATTGCTCAAAAACATATTACATGTAGTAACAAGTGCACATAATCTGGAAGCCCAAGAAAAATCATGACAAATTACACACAACACAGGGATAAGTGATGTAGTATGGTACATAAAGCGGAGAGGTACTGAGTGTGTTCCAAGATCATAGATGTGTGGAAAAGTAAGGGTTTGTCAGTTAGAAATTTATAAATTTTACAATAAATTGAATATTTATAACACTTATCCTATCTCACTCTATGCATTTCATACTTCTTCTTCCGATCCCTTGGGTGGAAACATCCTTGAACAAAGTTTCTAGCCTCTAAGCTCTATTCGCCCAAACACCCCTGGCATCACCATGACGACCACTCCAGCAATCACATCATGCACCCGATTCTCACGCAGCTTGCTGTCCTCGATCTGGTCACCAGATACCCTCTGCCTCATCATTCTCTTTCTTGGAGCTGACAGGCTAGTGTAACTGTGATGTGGGGTAGGATGGGCGGCCATAGATCGTGTGAAATAGGATAAGTATTATAAATATACAATTCATTGTAAAATTTACAAATCTTTAAACTTATCCTAACTCACTCTATGCATTTATCCCACGGTAGGACGGTGGGTCGCAGATTATCAAAGTATGTATTCGTCTTGTAACCAGGAGATGCACATGAGGAAGCTGGTGCTTAACATGCTTCAATCCTAGGACTGTCACACATCTGGAGATATTACTAGGACATAGCGTCATGCCAACGGGTATAACGTGCTTGTGTGTTTTCGCATAGGACATCGTACTATGATGATAGTGTGGTTTTGAATTAAGCTATTCAACCACGACTTGTAGCCAATTCAGAAAGGGTCTCAAGTCAATCAGTTCTACAAAACAACCTATCCGTATGCTCTAATGACGCAGGTCTTATTTGTTTGGCATCCCATTTTACACTTTGCCAAGGCAGGGGTGGGCTGATAATGGAATTGGGACACCGTCGAAACGGCTGCACCTTGCATTCACGAAAAAGTGGTGTATTGGTAGAAAGGGTCAGGGGAACTCCTGAGCAGACGTTCATTCTGATGTTCGTTCTAACCACCATTGTAGAAGGCCGTACAGGTGCAATGGGAGCTGAATCGGGAGCAGGCAATCGTCAATCTGAAGATGCGGTCTCTCTGGGTGAGGGCTTGTGCCGACGTCAATAGACCGAGCAGCTGCTGCCATTGTTGAAGATGTGGCGACTGCCTGAGTGCTAATGGGACGAGTCGTTGTTTCTTCTTCTATCCGTTCGGAGGAACGAACCTCTTTCCGAGATCGATGTGCTGCGATGTGCTGCAGATGAATTGCAGTTGCCGTTTTACGACTTTTCTGTGTTGCCCAGCCAACCGAGCTGATGGAGTAATTTCTGCACGAGGGTGAGATGTTTACTAGGACATTTCGGTCGGCATGGACTTGAATAGACTTGAGGATAATCCCTCTGACTTGCAGGAACTTCGTGATGGGCTTGGTAAGTCGGGTAAAGAGCCACGGGGCCAAAGAACTTCCAATTGACACTGAGTGACAAAGTGTAATTAAGGTAATAAAATGTGAGGGATACTATATTTTATCATACACAAGCTGGCTGACAATGTGTGGAAGTGACTAAAAGAAATATGCCTCCTTCTGGTTTTTGTTCCTTGTTGGGCTGCAAAAATAACTACATCATAAAACTATTACGAGCTACGCATACTGGCAGCTTTCGCAGTACTTTCCTGATCTAAAACAATTCCAGATTTACAGTATATATACAACACTGTGGCTGGTTACCTATTTTCACGGATTCAGCAGATGGTTCCCTGTACTCGAGCTTGTAGGGAAGAAACTGTAGGCGCTGTTTGGTGGCTTTATCCTTAATTTCTCCGACAACATCAGGCAGGCTGTAAATCTGTTCACCAATGTCCTAAGAAATGATGAAAACATGAATTCATTAGTAATTTAATTTAAATTGCTGAGATAAAAGTGGACATTTTTATAGTGTCACAAACTTCAGGTATCCATTAATTGGAAATCTCGTCTCATGCAAACCACTGCATCACCCATTAAGTAGCCTTCTTTCATATTACACGGACAGGTTCTGCACGTCTTTTTCATTCTGTTTGTTATTAAACACCACACTGAGCAACAGTACGCGGTTTGCGAGTTGGTTCAACTTATCATGGATTACAAGTAATTACAGTTATCTTATTGTAAATAACAGTTTGGACCAGACAATCCAGTAATTAATACCATGAACAATGACACACAATCAACCAATCACCGAGCCTGAAAACCTGATCCATTTAGTGAGGTGAGGTGAGGTGAGGCGAGGTGAGGTGAGGTGAGGTGAGGTGAGGTGAGGTTTAACGTTGCGTCCAAACTTATTGCAGTTATATAGCGACGTGCATGCACGTGTGTGTGTGGCTGCTTGTACCAGTGTGTACTAGTCCGGACTGATGCCGATTTATAGTGCTAACGCACTGAGATATCATGTCGCAGTGTAACATGGATAGCCCACTCAGACACAGTAAACTGCTATGAGCCAACCAGTCCTTTATTTAGCACCTTAAAGCCGAGCGCCAGACAGGGTAACAACAAGTACCATCTTTTAACATGTTTTAGTACAGCGTAGCCGGGGATTGAACCCAGAACCTTCTCCTCTCCAGGCAGGCGCCCTACCACTAGACCACGGAGGCGGTCAGATCCATTTTGTTTGACACAGTCAGTATTGGTTGCAGCAGACCTTGCCCAGATAACCACTGGACTTCCATATTTCATCACTACCAAAGTTATCACAACCTATTGTGGGAACAGTGACATTTATTTGACCAGATAATAACTTTTATTGAAACAAATAAATTACAAGTTTTATAACAATTGATCCAAGTATTAGCATGTGCAGAACTTTGTGCCACAAATCAACCACAGTATTGTTAGTTCATGTATCAATACGTCCCACGAAGATCCGGGTAAGAAAAGGTTTTCAGCAACCTACGCTTGCCGTAAAGAGCGACTATGCTTGTCATAAGAGGCAACTAATTGGATCAGGTGGTCAGACTTGTTGACTTGGTTGATGCATGTCATCGCATCCCAATTGTGCCAGACTCGATTATTTATAGTCCGCAGTCATATGGCTGATATATTGCTAGGTGCAGTGTTAAACAACAAACAACAAGCAACAAATCATGTGTATATACAAACTGTTGCAGGGGTAAAAACATATTCTCACTCAAGTATGCCACAGGGGACTCACAAAGATGTTTACTTTTGCCCTTGGGAAATATGGATATTGGCCCATATTTTGCTGCACATTTTTTATCTGTTTCATCATGATTACTGAGAGGATAAAACTGCTCTCTATATTCATATCTTAAAGGTAAATATTTATATACTCTTCAAAAAAAGAAACTTGACATAGATGTAAAACCACTTATTGCCAAATATCTAAAATAATTACATTAAATGAGAACCAAATAAGTCAAACAGAAAGATGATGTGTCTATAATTCGCGAAAACACATGCAAAGCACATAAACGTAGCGTTTGGGAATCAATTTTACAGCTTCATCCAAACTCAACCGCCTGTAAAAAACGTGCAGCACAGGATCCTGCATTTAGGCATGCAGGCCCCCCTGCTGAATGGGTATAAATATCCACATCAACGGCAGTAGAGGCGACAGAATGCCAAGACTGAATGCAGCTCAACGGAACAACGCCATTGGGAGATTACAAGCTGGAGCAACTCAGCAAGAAGTGGCCAGGCACTTTGGCGTATCCAGACAGACAATCTCCGCACTGTGGACCCGATACAACATCACCAACAGAGTTGACGACAGACCAAGGTCAGGAAGACCAAGGGTGACAACCCAAGCACAAGATCGATACATCCTGCTGCGACACCTCCGAGACCACACTACCACAGCCACGTCTACAACCACACAGATCCTTGGGGTACGCAGAATATCAGATCAAACGATACGCAACAGACTGAGGGAGGCTGGACTTTTTGCACGAAGACCTGTTCGACGTCATGTATTGACCCCACATCATCTGGCGGACCGTCTGCTTTGGTGCCAACAAAGGGTTAGATGGACACGTGCAAGGTGGAGAAATGTACTGTTTACTGACGAGTCCCGTTTCCTACTCACACATGCTGATGGGCGCGCACGTGTCTACAGACGTCGGGGTGAATGTTACGCCCCCAACTGTGTGCAGCAGGTTGTCCCATTTGGCGGCGGGAGTGTCATTGTATGGGCCGGAATTCATCACGGTGGTAGGACGCCTCTCGTGCATGTGGCAGGTGCATTAACAGGTGTGCGTTACAGAGACTTGATCCTACAGCCTTATGTTCTTCCTCACGTCAACGTTCATGGCGGACAGTTCCAGCAGGACAACGCTCGACCGCATATTGCACGTTTGTCAGGACTTCTTACAGCACAACAACATCCAGACATAACCTTGGCCAGCCCGGTCACCAGAAATTGTCCCCGACTGAGCATCTGTGGGACGAGTTGGATCGACGAGTTCGCAGAAGGAATCCACCGCCCCAAACACTTCCGGCGCTTCTTGATGCACTTCAGCATGAATGGCAGCACATCCAACAGCGTGTTATTGACAACTTGATTGCATCTATTGGTCGTCGGTGTCAAGCGGTGATTGATGCACGTGGTGGGCACAACCGATACAGGCATTTTCTGTACCCCTGTGACATTACCTGTGTCTGTCTAGATGACACGATTAATGTTTTGAACATTGTGTACATTGATCTTCAAACAATGTTTCAATTATGGTTTCTGTGTCCTATTTTGAAACAATCGCATTATATTACATTTTAAAAGTCAGTGTCAAGTTTCTTTTTTTGAAGAGTATATAATGACTGAATGGCCAAAATATCTTGAAATTTTTTACAAACCTGTAGAGGTTATGAATTCTCTGATGAAATCCTCCTTGGGGCACTTATTGCATTTTCCTGGCTCAAGAAAATCTACATGACATAGTTGTAACCATTTTCCTTAATAAAAATTGTTACCACACAAAAAACTTTGTTTTTGTATGATATACGTCCACCCTTATGGTGCCTCACCCTCCACGGCGCGTCACGCCAAGGGAAGCAACTCTCACCCAAATCACTTTCCATATGTCTAATGCTGAGGGAATGTGGGGAGGCGGGTGGCCGTGCCCCAAGGAGGATTTCATCAGAGAATTCATAACCTCTACAGGTTTGTAAAATTCTCTTTCAGATTAAATCCTCCTTGGGGCACTTATTGCATCAAGATAGACTCCTAAAGATAATCTAGGAAGTGGCATCCGTCAGCAACAAGCGTGCATAAAATACATCGTATTTTGATTATTTCAATGAATAAACAAGAGTTCAATAAATGGAACCAACCTTATCGTGAGGCACCACCGTCGAAAGGCGGGGGCTGGAGACAGGGCGTTATCGACCATACACAATGAAAAGAGCCATTCTTTGTGGCTCATCATATCGAGAACTCGAGACACACACACCCCCCACCCCACCCACTTTTTTGAACAAGTGATATTGGGGGCACAGATCACGAGAGACTATAAACCCGCACAGAGCTAGGCCAGAGGGTCCCCGTAATCGAAGGAGTGCATGTGCAATTACGATGATTATCGACTAGTAATGGCTGGTATTGTATCGACCGTAGAAGATAAAATCCGGACCGTTACTGAGCAGTGTTATAACCGGTCCGGGCGGTCTAAAATCTCGAAGGCTCAATCGGCTAGAGATGTAGAACTTTGCCCAGTTCGGAGCACGCTCGCTTGAGTGTTTGTCGAGTTGGTAATGTTTGATGAACGTGCTCGGCTGGCTCCAAATAGCCGCGGAGCAGATCTCCTCAATGGGCAGAGCCGCAGCATACACTTGTGTCGTAGCCACTGCTCTAACCGAATGAGCCTTCAACTTGGTAGGGGGGTCCCTGCCTTGAAGCGTGTACGCCGTATCCACCGCGAGATAGTTTGTTTGCTCGCAGGTGAGCCAGCCTTCCTACCGCCATAACAGCAAAATAGTTGATTATCCTTACGGATACCCTTAGTTCTGCTGATATAGGACTTAAGGGTCCTGCGGACATCCAAGACATGAGCATGTCTTGTAGTGGTCCCCGACGAGGAAGGCTGTGAAAGAGCAGGTAGCTCAATAGGAGCCGTCACGTGGAAGGCGTGTGCGACCTTAGGACGGTAAGAGTCCGGCAGGCGAATACTGACCCTGTCCCGGTGAAAGACAGTTAGTTCGGGATCGGCTGACATTGCGTGAATGTCGCCTACCCGTCTGCCGGACGTTACCGCCACAAGGAACGCCGTCTTCCAGCTCAACAGCTGAAGAGAGAGAGACGACAGATCCCGAAAAGAAGGACCGGACAGCCAATCAAGAACGATTGACAATTCCCAAGGGGGACTGATCCGCCGGACAGGCGGTCGGATCCTGTCCACACCTGCTAAAAAACGCTGCACTAATGGGTGCGCACCCAAAAGTGCCCCGTCGACGGGGACGTGAAAGGCAGCGATAGCTGTAGAGTACCCCCGGACTGTCGATGCGGCCAGGCCGACATCTAGTCGCGACTGGAGGAACTCAAGTACGGCTACGAGATCTGCAGAAAAGGGATCTGCAATCCTTCTATCGACACACCAGCGCGCATAGCAGGCCCATCTATCCTCGTACTGAACGTTTGTCGAATCCCTCCGCGAAGCCAGTATTGTGTCTGCAACTCGTGCAGGAATACCGCTCTCCTGGAGGCGATTCCGGACAGTGGCCAAGCCACCCACTGAATCCTGGGATTCGGGTGGAGGGCCTCATTCTGGGATAGGAGGTCCGGTCGTAAAGGTAATAGAACAGGAGGCTGAGCCAGAAACCTGAGTATGACTGGAAACCAACTCTGCGCCGACCAAAGGGGTGCCAGGAGCA